CTCACCCCTCAACAGAGTGCTGCCTCTGTTTCCAAGAAGGAGCCAAAGGTGGGGTTGATAGCAGTGGCCAACAGTTTCACTGATGCCTCTGTCATGAATCCTCTATAAAAGCCCCAAAGAAAAGGATCAGAACTTTCACGATGGTAAAAACATTGATGTGACAGAAGAGTAGGCACGCCGGCTCCTCTGGGGCAGACTCCTGTGCTCGACTCTTCCAGTGTCTGCCTGTGTCCTCTGCAGTTCATCTGTAGGCTTTGCAATTAGTTCCCTTGGGTTCTGCGAGCTTTCCCAGCAGATGAACTAACACAAGGAATGTGTTCTGGAAACTTGTAGCAACAGCACGTTTTCCGGAAGGATGTAGTAGCCTCTTAGTTGTGATGGTTATCTGCAGCAGAGGGACTGAGCCCTCAGCCTGTGGCAGCTCACACTATCTGCCAGGACAGTGTGAGGATTGAGTTGAACTCTAGGACATGGACTTGGTGTCCAGCTGAGATGAGGTTGTGTCTGTGTGGGGAAAATGCCCATACACTGTAGTGACTAGAAAAATTTTGGTGAGTTTGTAAGTCAGAGCAGGGAAAGTTTGTTTTCTCAGACTGTAGAAGGAAACCATGAAATTCATGAATAATGAATGGAGAAATAGTTAACAATCATGAGACATCAGCATACAATGTTTAGAATGACTGTGTCATAAATCAGCAAGGAAAGCGCATAGTACAATTCTATTAACCAACTATCGCCTACTAGAGATCTGTACAGCACTCTGCCTGAAGATTCTACAATATATTTTTTAAAATACATGTGGAATATTCTTCAGGTTAGTGCAAATTAAAAAGAAATGAAAATGTAAAGTGTATGTTTCTGTCACAGTGGCATGAAATTAGAAATTAACAGCAGCAAGGAATTTGTGAATGTTAAATACTTCTAAATATCCAGGGCATTGAAAGAAGAAATTCACAAGGGAAATTAGAGAATACTCAGAGATGAAAATTAAAACACAGCATTAACACACCCCATGGGATGCAACTAAAGCAGTGGTAAGAAGCACATTGGTTGCTCTGAATGCCAATACCAAAGAAGAAGGATGTTCTGAAATCCGCAATCTAATCCTCTACTGAAAGAAACCAATGCAGAACTTGATTCATTGACAAGGTTGAATAAATAGAGAAATGTAGGGAATACTAGTAAAATTGGGGATTTGTTTGAAAGTATCAGTAATGAACTTTATCCTTTAAGAAGAGTTTTATTATGTGTTTACCACAGTAGCAAAGTTCAAAAGCAAAAACAAAACTATGATAATTTAGAGTTTTATTGGCATAAAGCTAGCCTGTAAAATCAATACGATATACTAAAGCATATATTAATACACTCGCATGCATATGAGCCATTGTTTTTTCAACAAGAGTTTGAGGAGCTGAATAACCTTTCAGTAAATAATGCTGAATATTCTATGAATAATGCAGAATATCCACATGGAAAAGCAGGAAGTTGAATTTCTACTTTATACCATAAAAAATAATGCTCAAACAGCTAAATATAAGTGCTGATGCTATAAAACTTAGGAAATATTCTGAGATTGGATCAGGTAATGATATCTTTTTTTAAAAGATTTATTATTTTTTTTTTAATTGGAAAGGCAGATATACAGAGAGGAGAGACAGAGAGGAAGATCTTCCGTCCGATGATTCACTCCAAGTGAGCGCAACGGTCGATGCTATGCAGGTCCGAAGCCAGGAGCCTCTTCCGGGTCTCCGACGCGGGTGCAGGTTCCCAAAGCTTTGGGCCGTCCTCGACTGCTTTCCCAGGCCACAGGCAGGGAGCTGGAAGGGAAGCGGGGCTGCTGGGATAGAACCGGCGCCCATATGGGATCCCGGGTGTGCAAGGCGAGGACCTTAACCACTTGTGCCACCGCGCCGGGCCCAAGGTAATGATATCTTAGATAAGACATAAGAAGTACAGGTAACAAAACTAAACTGAATTTTATGTAATTAAACCAATTTGTAATTCAGAAGACAGCCTCTAGAAATAAGAAAAGTGGACACCCGCAGAATGAAAAATATTTACAATGTCGCTTATAACCTAACATTTCCAGAAAATATAGAAAAGCTTACACTTGAACAATAAAAACAGAAAACCCGAGTAATAAAAAGAACTTGAAGTTGCTGGGCATCAGGCAGTAGGTATGTGCAAATTAAAACCACAGGATACCAGTTCATATGCGTAAGAATGGCTAAAATCAAAAGGAGAGACGGTAAATGTTGGTTAAAAAGTGTAGAAAAACTAAGAACTTCAGACTGCATGTGGGAATGTAAAATTATACAACCAGTTTGGAAAACAGCCCTTAAATGAATAAGCACTGCGTTACCATAGGGCCCAGCAAGCCCACTCCTAAGCATATACTTCAGAGCAATGAAAGCACTCCACACAGAAAACTTGTACATGAATATTTATAGCTGCATTATTCATAATAGCCCCAAAGTGGAACTAGCCCAAATGTCGCTCGGTTTATGAATGGACAAACAAAAAGCGGTCTGTGTGGTGAAATGGTACTTCACAATAAAAAAACATTCAGAGCCAGTTTATGCCTATAACATGGGTGGACCTTGAAGATGTTCCATTAAAAGAGCCTTCAAAGGATAATCTTATGTGATTCCATTTATGTGAAACATCCTGACTATACAAATGCATGTAAGATGCAGATTGGCTGGTTGCTAGGTGATGGCTAGTGGTGATGGAGAGATTTGGAGAAAGGGTACTAGTGTTCATGGGTTTCCTTTAGGGCTGATAAAAATGCTCTAGAACTTAATAGCGAACATGATTATACAATATATTTACACTAAATTCACTTAAATCCTATAGTTAAAAGGGGCCGGGACTGCATAGATTAAATTTCAATAAAGCTATGTTTTAAAATAGTTGCAATGATTTGGCACTCAGAGGATAGTCCTTTTGCCTGGAATGGCAGCATCCCATGTGAGCACCAGTTCAAGTCTCGACTGTTCTGTCTTTGATACAGCAGCCTCTGAAGTGTTTGAAAAAGCACAAGTCCTAACCACTTGGGCCCCTGCCTCCCTGAAGGTGCTCTAGGCTTCTGGCTCTGGTCTAGCCCAGTCCTACCTGTTGTGTCCATTTGGGGAATAAATCAATGGATGAAAGATACTGGAAAAACAGTTTGACAGAGGATAATAAATAAATCTTAAACTGTTTTCGTCGGCTTTTTGAAATTGTACACTTAGTTCAAGCGAAACATCTACTTTACTTGCTAAACAATTCCTCATTTTCAAACTGTTCATCCAGTCTCTGATCAAGAGGCAAGATTTTTAATTAAAAGCTTTAGCCTTGTCGCTGTAAAGGACAGCATGGGTGGGATACATTTGTTCGGAAAGGAAGCTATGAAAGGGTTGAAGAGGACTCCTTAACACAAAGGCGCCATCTGAGTTTTGAGATTGAGGTTCTCGAAACATGTTTCCTTAAAGCTTCCCATGCCTGGGTATCCGAGGAGTATATTAATGCTACCATTGTATGCTACTCTGTTTCATGGTTTCATAAAATAACCTCTGAGTGTATACATTTATTTGTAAGAATATCGTGTGCAGGCTCACTTTGTAGTCACCCAAACTACATCTATGTATTGCATGTCCTTCTCCTGTATTGGTGACACAGCTCTTTGGGTATCCAAGGTGAACCTCAGAATTCCTCACAGCTGTTGAATTATGCTGGTTTGCAGCTGGCATAAGAGATGAATCTGTAACAGCAAATTACTAGTTTTTAGTCGACACATGTATAGCTTTGGAGGGGGGTGGGTAACAGATTTTAGATCACATGGTTTGTTAGCATGATTTGCTTTGGTCAAGCTCTTTATCCTTAAATCAGCTTGGAAAAGTGCTGAGAGATACTTGTGCAAGAAACTTTGATTTTTCAGTGCACTTGGCAAATAGAGGGTTTGATTGCCTTGGCTGTAGTTTCAAGCTGACAGTGAGAGCCTTGGAAAGATGCAGTTAACAGCAGGGCAGTGGTCAGAATGACAGAGCCGATGTCTTGAAGAGCTAGGAGCTGAAAGTTCTTATAGGACAGAATCGCCAAGCTTCCAGTATATAAGATATTCGCTGCACATGGAAGTGGCATTTGTCCATATTCAGGTTGTGCTGTGAGAATTGGAGTTCAGAGCAAGATAACAGACACCACATTATTTCAATAAATGCCTAGGTCTTTCACCCAGGACTGTTGACTGTCAGCAGCCGTAAGGTGGTGGCAGGCTAACGTGTGAGCTTGACAGTAGGGTACATTTCAGATCCTTTACAGTTCCTGATAATATGAAGGAAATGAAGTGAGCTGAGCTGATAAGCTTATTATCAAGTGTCATTTTTACTTAAAGGAACTTCATCATTTTATGTATGTATATAAATGGATTTTTTTTTTAAAGATTTATTTTTATTATTTTTTCATTGGAAAGGCAGATATACAGAGAGGAGAGACAGAGAGGAAGATCTTCTGTCCGATGATTCACTCCCCAAGTGAGCGCAACGGGCCGATACTATGCCGATCCGAAGCCAGGAGCCTCTTCCGGGTCTCCCACGCGGGTGCAGGGTCCCAAAGCTTTGGGCCGTCCTCAACTGCTTTCCCGGGCCACAGGCAGGGAGCTGGAAGGGAAGCGGGGCTGCTGGGATTAGAACCGGCGCCCATATGGGATCCCGGGCGTGCTAGGCGAGGACTTAACCACTTGCGCCACCGCGCCGGGCCCATAAATGGATTTTTAAAAGGATTTTTCCCCGGGTTAAAATGTGAGTTGGGCATAATTTTGCTGTTTATATCTAATGATGCTTTTCAAAGCATTGATAGGCTGATTTTTTTAGGCATTGAGGTTGTCTTATGCATGTAAGCATCTGTACACACATGTATATGTATGCATAATTTAAAAAAATCAGATCCACTCATCACTTATTTCAGAATCCATCCCAGTTCTACAAACGTCCATTATCATGTGTGGCTTGCCTCTTTTGCAGAATATTGGAAAAAAGATGACCTGCCAAGAGTTCATTGCCAATCTCCAAGGAGTAAACGAGGGTGCTGATTTCTCCAAGGATCTGCTCAAAGTAAGCAGTGAACTTTATGATTTTTAAAGTATCTGTGTTTATATTGGCTGCTCACTTCTCAAGGCAAGGTACGGTACGAATCACTGCTTTGTTCTTTGCTTTGTTACGACGGTGATGTTTCTACTGGGCCCTGTCCTTGATTCTTTATAAGCTGCCTAGAATAGTTCCTGAAAGTACTCCTTGTAACCAACGATCCTGAAACATGGAATAGTTTTGAACTATATGGTGATGCAAAGAGTGGGCAGTTCTTGTTTAATTGTGAGCACAAGATCGGAACTTCAGAAATTTGCAAAGGTGGATTTGCTGTGGAAACAGAGAAGCAGATGCAGGCCGTAATGGAAGCAGTTTCGAGTGCATTTAGTCCCTAGTGATAGAGCCGTTCAGGTTGCCACTGAAAATAGGTTAAATTAAATTTCAAGTCACTATAGGGTATCTGCAATATTTGTATCCCCAGCCAGCTTGTTTTTCCCCATTACCAGATTGTTTTGAAAGCGACAGCAAAATCAGCTTTGGAATTCATACATTCAACCAGCATTATAATGAGGTGTGTGTTTAATCAAATACAGAATAATGAATATTAATATCTTAGATGCATTATGTTGAGCCTGTGGCTTTTACATATTTTTATTTTAGTGTAGTCTGTAGAAATTGTGTATTTAATAGTTTGAGGTAGAGAATTCCCTTCTAAATTATTTGAAAGTCAGAGATCTTTCATCCACTGGTTCACTCCCCAACTGGCTGCAGTGTCTTAGAATGGCCAAACTGAAGCCGAGAGCCAGGCTCTTCATCTGTGTCTCCCACGTGAGTGATAGTGGTCCAAGCACGCTGACCATCTTTCACTGCTTTCTCAGGTGCATTAGCAGGGAGCTGGATCAGAAGTGGAGCAGTCAATCAGTGCTATTGTAGGATGCCAGTATCGCAGGCAGTGGCTTGGCCTCCTGTACCACAATACCAGCCCTGACAGATACTGTGATTGTTTTTCCCCCACGGGTTATTTATTCATTTGAAAGAAAGTGGGAACAACCCAGAGAGGTCTTCAATCTGCTGGTTTACTTATCAAGTGGCTGCAACAGTTAGGGGTGAGCCAGACAGCAGCCAGGAGCCAGGAGCTTCATCCTGGTCTCCTGTGTAGGTAACAGGGATCCAAGCACTTGGGCAAATTTTCTGCTGCATGGAGCTGGATCAGAAATAGAGGAGAATCATCACCTGCAGGGGATGTGGGTGTTGCAGGTGGTATCTTAACTCCGTTTGCCACAAGCCAGCCCTGAGAACTCCTATCTTTATGTAAGAAAATCAAGTTACTTTTCTCCTGATTTTGGAAAGAGGTTGTTTTTTTTCTTTTTTTTAGCAAAATGGAATTGAGTCAGTAATACTTAGAATCTCATACTATCATTTAATACCTCTTTTCATTTTTACAGTCTATATGTCTTCAAGCTTAGCACAAACCTAATCTGTGCAGCTCAAAAATTACATTAAATGGAATATAAGACCTAGATTTTAATGGCATATTCCTTAAGAAATCATTTATTGGAAAGGCAGATTTACAGAGAGGAGAGACAAAGTTCATCCATCCAGTGATTGACTTCCCAAGTGGCCACAGTGGCTGGAGCTGAGCCAGTGCAAAGCCAGGAGCCGGGAGCTTCTTCCCAAATGGGTACAGGGTCCCAAAGCTTTGGGCCATCCTCGACTGCTTTCCCAGGCAAACAAGCATGGAGCTGGATGGGAAGTTGGGCAGCTGGGGCACGAAGCAACACCCACATGGGATCTGGTTGCTAGGCCACTGTGCTGAGCCCTCAATGGTATATTCTAAGTTATAGTGTGATTTAATGGTGTCACTGTTCTTAATAGATTCTTTCAAAGATTGTTTCCAAGACATTGTATTGGAATATCTGTATTCCGCATCCAGCTCTGGCTTCCGCCTTCTGTTTCTTGCTGTTGCAGACTTTAATGGGCAGCAGTGATGGCTCACATCAGTGGGTTCTTTCTACCCTAAGGGGGACCTCCTTGTCTGCTTCAGCCTGGCTCAGTTCCAGCCATGATGGGCATCTGAGGAGAGAAACAGCAAATGGGAGATCTATTTTTGTCTGCCTTTCAAACCCATAAACACATTTTTTAAAAAGCACTTGTGGCAGAAACCAGCCTTCTCCACCCATCTTCACTCGTGGACCGTTCCTGCTGCCAGCTGAGCTGGTGTTGGGATTCAAGCTTTGTACCTCCATATTAAGTTACTAGGACTGTTTGTCATTTCCTCTTTTTCCCACGTTGCTATGTCCCTCTGAAAGAGTCCTGTTATTGCCCCCTATTTCCGTGCTGTTCCTGACGCTAAAGGGTGGGTATCTTTGCATGTCCAGTGCCATGTCAGCTATGTGTGTGTCTGGATTTCCTGCCCCCGCCCTCAAAGGAAAATTGATTTCTTAAATTTTTAAAAACTACTTAAGAATAATTTTGAGGGTTTTTTTTTTTGTTAGATTTTCGTTGTTTGCGGCATTTGATTAAAAGCTTACTGTAAGAATCCTTGCAGGGTTGTCGATTTCTAGCAAGTCATGTCAGCATGGCTACAAGTATGTACATATTTTTCATTTGAAAGGCAGATTTAGAGAGAGGAGGGACAAAGATCTTCTGTCCACTGATTCACCACCCCTCAAGTGGCTGGAGCTGAGCTGATCTGAAGCCAGGAGCTTCTTTTGGGTCTCCCATATGCAGTTTCAAAGAATATGTGAACATATATGTGTGTGTATATATATATATACACAACAAACGTATTTTCAGAAAACAGTTACACTGTGGACATAACATTAGGTTTTCTTGAATTTATCAAGGTTTGGGATTTGTTTTTTCATGGTTGCCCCTGGGGAACTCTGATTTAAGGGAATACAGTTCTTTTCAGCAAAGTTTAAGCCCATAAACCTTTGCAGGTTTTGTCTGTACTTTGAATTTCTGAAAGGGCCACAGCATGATCGTGTGATGAAATATCAAACAGAAGTAAATATGTTGCAAAGAAAAAGGTAGACCTTTCCATGAAATGAGAAAAAAAGATAGAATTTTCTTCTGTTCTTGCATTTGTGATCCTTTATATCTTCTCTATTATCTTTTCAAATTGGAATCACCATAAATTACAAAGGGAAAAAGTAAAACGTTAAAAGCATAATTTTCCTCATTTGACTCTTGGTAATGGTCTTCTACATTTTCCATCCTGTTTCTCCTGACTGCTTTTGTTTAAGTATATAGTACTGGTTGAATTACTATTTTTAAATCGCTGAGCTCCTATTTCAGTTCTGCCTTTTCTTCAGGCTTCACCTGCTTTTTTCTTCTGCTAGCAACAGTCGCTATTTCATCTGTAGCTGGATGGCAGGGTTTTTTCCTTTTGCGGTAAAATTAGGTAAAGTGTATTCAAGCTCTTATCAAGGCTCTACAGCTTCTGGAGAGCTTACAGTAAATGGGAAAGGCATTCCCAAATGCGAGCTGCTGCTGATGCAGAGGGCCGTCTCAGGCTAAGCCTGGGTTCCACAGCACACCTCTGATGGCCCTGGAGGATGTAGCTGGTGCCGTGTAGATGGCAGCACGTGGGTAAATAACACAGCTGTAGTATATGTATTCAAGGAGATTCCTCACTGCTGTCACTGTTAAAACTTCGGGGCCGTGCTCAAAGCAAGGTGATTTTAGGCTAGGTTGCTCACTCCCCCTGCTGTAGCTAGAGCGCCATGATTTGTGGACCTGATGTATTCTGCTTGAGAATTACGCAAATGATACGCCAAGGCATCTCTGCAACTTGAGAAGGTCACTTCATGCTGTCAGAATTGAGAGAGGGAAGTGAAGTGGGAAGAAAAGGTAGGGCTGAGGTCATGTTGTGAGGAGGGAGTGGGTAGGTTGCCAAAGCACTGTGCTAGGGAAAACATTGTGGAGGCGATCCAGGCTGAGCTAACACAGCAGGAGCTGTCCACATGGAGCTCGTGTCGGTGTCCACTTGTGAGTGCGGGGAATGGAAGGCGGAAAGGCAAACTCTGCTATGTGGCTATGACTCTGCTATGTGGCTATGACTCTGCTATGTGGCTATGACTCTGCTATGTGGCTATGACTCTGCTATGTGGCTATGGAGTTGTTCAGAGCAGTTCCCTGCAGAGCAGCTGCTGAGGCGGGCCAAGAACTCCTCCCCGAGCCAGGCCTGCCTCCCCTGCTCTTGAACCTCCTGGTGATCTTTCTTATACCTTGCAATGTTGTCCCGGCAGCCTTCCCGAGAGCAAATTTACCAAACTGTCTGTTATCCCAGATTGGATGTTACATTATCTGTGAGATCTTGAAATTTCTTTTGAAAAGAACTTAATGTTCTAAAGATAGCTGGTAATGTTATTTTCATAGTTTCTTAATATTCTTTAAAAATATTTGGTTGAAATAGGTCAGAGCACATAATATACTTGATCTCAGTGAAAAGACTGAGTAAATGTCAAATAGAATCACCACAAAAACAAGAACTTGAAGTGATGGGTATGTTGATTCAGTTCTTCTGCGTTGTCTGCAGTGACTTTGGAAATACATTAAATAATTTCAATGTGTAGTACAAACATTTAAAAACTGCTTGGTTCATATTTTTGGCTACCAATAATAGGATAATGCGAATTCTGTGGCCATTCTTATTCATAAGAGACTATATTTGTAAAATGGACCTCTTATTTGTTGATTTAACACATGAAAAAAATGGAAGCTAAACTGTAGATTTTTAAAGTAGAAATTCCTGTCCTTTATTTCCAGCCCTGTAATAAAGCACAGATGTTTTAGGATACTTTATGGTTCACTGTGAAGTTCGAACGAATGCATTGTACTTATACTTGATGTTTTGCAGGTTTACCCAGCACTTTGTCTCTTTAAATAGCCTTGATATTTCAACAGTCTATAACTAATAATTAAGCCTAGGAACCACCCATAATTTCCCTTATATATCTTATTCTTTTGTCTGCAAAGATTTGTTTAAAGTGAATTTCTGCTCATCTTGTGTCTCTCTACTG